GGGAATAATATGGTAATTAAGCTCATAAATTTTCAGGAGGATGTTTAGCTCCAGTTTCGAGATAAGTGTAAAAAGGTGCTTTACATTTTCCGTTTTTTGGATCAATTATTTTTCGAAAACTCAAAAAAAAATTAATGTTGCCCCAACATTATCAATGAGACTGACTTGTGGCGTCAGAATAGGTTGAATTAGCAGCTCTACACCGTTTTCGAAATTTTGAATCTCATGTTTCAACATTCAGCACATCAAGAAATATGACATTTAGGAATTGAGGTGAAAGGATGTAAGATTTTATCTCATTTCATTTCATACGGAACTGGTTTATGCAGCAGAGTAGATTCGGATTTGTAGGTGGTTCGCATCAATAGGCACGTATGAATGATTTGCATTGGCCCACTAAGCAGGCTTCTGTTGATTGGTTACAGACAATATTGGAGGTCAGTTCTTTGTAGGTTCGCCTAATTCTTCCCCCATGTAACACCAGCTTGACATTTTGATGTACCGTGTATACGCACACGGTATGAGTACCACATCCACTTGTAAGAACACATTATTTTGGCCAAACTTCAGCAAACTTTGAGAACCCAACCTGAACATCTGGATTTTTGTTTTTGAATGCTCGGTACGCTTCCTTGAGGTTGCCAGGGACATAGTCCTTTGCAGCTGAACATGTTCCAGAAACTGAGTCATCATAGTAAAATTGCCTCACCAAATCCATCATTGTTTTTGGTAGTTTCTTGCCTTCAAACTTCTTAAGTTTCGCCAGGACTCCTTCCACCTCCCTCACTTTTCTTGCCAGTTTCACACCTTACTTGGTGGCTCAAAAGAACTTGGCCGACTCATCTAATGTCCAACCTCTTGGAGCCATAGGCAGGATCTGGATTTTTACCCCTCGACTTTCCGTGCTGTGGAATTTCTCTTTCAGTTCATCCAATACCGACTGAAAAGTAACTTTTCTTGAATCAATATATATCCTTATCCTAAGTTCTTCCTATAGGATTCTCTGCCTTGGCTATCGATTCCAAATTGCGCTATCATAGTTGCTGACATCTTTAGTTTACCTTCTGCATACTGTGCCCGACGACTACCAATCAGCCCGTATTTATCAGGGTTACATCGATGTCTTGCAGGAGTGTATTGAGGGTTCACTATGTTTCACCAGGATATTCTGAAGCAGGATAGAATGTCGGATCACATTCAGAAGCTCCGGGTGTGCCGAAGGAAGATGTGCTATGTTAGACAGTTTCCTTACGTGAATAAGTTTCTTCCGAAGCCTCGTAAACAGTATTTTATTGAAGTTCTTTTCTGATGTTGTACCTGTATCGTGACTGGTTGAAAAACCGAATCTGAAGATACATGAACTCCATATACGCATAATTAAGACAATATGATATAGGTCGGCCTAATCCATATTGTCGGAGAAACAAATAATTTTTTTGAGCTTTCTGAAAATAATGGATCCGCAAAACGGAAAATGTAAAGCACATTTCTACACATATCTCGAAACTGGGGCTAAACATCCTCCTGAAAATTTATGGGTTTCATTATCATATTATTTCCGTGTGATCTTATTAAGTTGGTGAAATTTAAACATTATGTATTTTTTATATGAATGGTCAAAGGCCAAAGGCCTTCGAATTTTTATATAAAATGAGTATACATGAATATTATCTTGAAATAAATTTATAATATTGAGTTAAAAGAGACCTTTAAAAGGAGTTCTAAATGAACATTCTATGAGAAATAGCTAATGAGTTATTGAAGAAAGTCCGATAGAGGTCAGCTGGAACAACTATAGGTCAACATTTTGTGACCTCGCCACGGACATACCATTGGACAGAAAAAAAAATTATTTTGGATTTCCTGTTTTTGGGTCAAACGCTACTACCTCACCAACTTTCAGTCAAATCGATGATGGTCGACTAAAATCTCTGGTCGATCTGACCCATAAAGTTTCGCTCAAACTCGGAGCTTGAGTTCCACATTTTGGAGCTCAAGCTCCAACAATTCTGAGCTTTCCTCGCTCTCGTCCCCCTCTTTCGCTCTTGCTTCTTTCTCATAGAGAGATCAGGGAAAGCTGAGTTGCCCGAAATCGCATTAGGAGTAACTTATTAAGTACTTAGGATATTGGCCGCCAGCACCGTGGAAACTTGGTTCCCCTGTGTGAGGCAAGGCTTGCAGGATTTAATAGCATGTACTTCACCAAACAGAGAGAACAAACCTTCCTGTTCTTCATTTTCCCAGTATCTGGCAGCGCAATTCACATGAAAGGACTTCCATTTTGGGAATCAAAGCTCTGAATCCCGTTTTACAAGGAGAACACACTTGCGGGATTTCAGAGGTAACTCATTCAGGTCAAAATTTGTACGACTTGGTTTCTAACACGATGAAATCCTCAGGCATGCCATTTACGACTCGTGCACTTGAAGCATCCTTTTTCATATTATACTGAAAGTCCGGAATGTTATAGAAATTATTGGAAATAGGTATTCACCAAGTGGACATAGGAAAATTCTTCGCACATGAGTAGGATTTCGAAAGTAGAACCTAATTAGAACTTACTAGACGAGGTAGGAAATGTATCCAGAGCAAAATAGGTCACAAAATTGTCGTGGTGAATTGGACAGAAATGAAAAGGTGAATCTTGGCGCACGTATAAGTGACATGATTGAGGGAGTTTTCAGCTTTCATGGTGCATCCCCTCCTGGCATAGATTTTTGGCGGGTGGGCAATTCCAAACGAGTTTTTTGACTAGCGAAATGGGCAAACGCGAAATATTGAGGCTTTGTGAGCATGTAGCTCACCGGGCAGACATGGAAAAGTAGCTGGTGCACGCATCATTCACGTCATGTTGATTTAAAGAAAACAGAGCGTGTCACGCTCTGTAATAGGATATTGCAAGAAAAGACAACCAAATCCAATATAATCTAACATAGTGTCAATTCCAGCGCAATGACTGGTCACTGAGGTTCGTCCTCAGGCACTATGCGGGCCACTTCTTGCGCTGTTGGCACCCTAGGCTGGTCGCCTTCCCTGTCATGACGCAGCCCCACCTTAGCACCAACAGGATGATTAGCACCACATCAATTTTTGCTGATAGGACTTAAATATACATTTGTTTCACAAAGCATAATAATTCACTAGAGAGTACAAGTCCAGATACATATCTGGCATTCCTCTGGCCCCTGTACCACTCGATTTATTTTATACAGGTATATTCACCGCATCCTAACCATCCAACCTTAGATACAAATATTAGCTGTTATTGGGTCGGCGTAGGTTTATATGATAAAGCCTGGAAATGAGACACGTTCTCGATGGTCCGCGCATCCTGGTCGCATGGAGATATGAGGAGAGTATGAAGTGTTGGATGCCAGATACGGCATTTCACGCGTGCGCCTAACAACCCTGTGCATGCAGCCAGGAGCAGCCGCTCTCCTCCGTTGTCTACTATGAATCCGTCAACCTCCAGGGCTGGAAGGGAAGTGGATGTTTTCGTGGTAGACGGGGACCCCGACACTGGCCGTAAGCTGGGCGTGCGCATTGGGTCGCGTTGTCGGGTTGCTATGGCTACTGCGGACAGACTGAATGGAAAAAATGTGACAAACTGACCGCAATATCTGGCATTTCACATAATACCATTGGGAATATCAGGTAATAAGAAGCATTCAGTAGCTTCATGTAATTTTTTATTTTTCCAAGAATGCGGTAATATGTGTGCGCTGTTCGGAATTACAAGGCTTCGGCTAAATAATTTTATTCACTACAGTGACCATTAAGAGTACTGGTTAACTTCTTGGGATTGGTATCTTGAGATAGGCAGCAGAAGGAATAAGCTTTATCTCGTAAAGGACAAATAAGTCACGATAATAAAAATTAGTCTACAACCTCCGAGCGCGGCTGCGCTTCATATGCTAGGCTATTTCCTTTTATGCAGGTTCACAATAACTGTACTGAACATTTTCTTTCTTTTTATTAATGGATGCATGAAAGATATGAGTCAGGCCAAGAGAGATACCATCATCACAAGAGTTTCATGCTCATATGCTTCAGTCGTCCCCCTTCTAATGCCATCTTCTCTCTTTTAAGGGCAATTGAGAGGTTGGATTCGTTGTCAACTCAGGCCAGTATGGATGCGCCTAATCCCAGCGTACGATGGGAGGCACCGTCAGAATCCAAGGTTCGAGGAGGCATTTCTTTGTAGGTTAGGTAACTGAAATGCCATGGACAGGTCTATGAACAATTTATTTTTACCGTTTCGAACTCTAGCAGGCTTCTGGAGACATTCCCGGAGAAGTGCCTCTCCTACCGTCAGATACCTATATCCAAAGTGTACCCACGATGCCCTTCGGATCACAAGCCGAAAGAGGTCCTAGGAGCGAAACCGAAAATATTTCTTTATCGTCTATCATGGGCGCCAATCAAGGCGCCCAACCTTCCCAAGAGCTAGACTCGAGATACCTATCGATTTGCCAGGAGTACTTGAAACCCAAAGGTTGCGGTCAGGAACAGTGCCGGTCCCTGCATATCTGTCCTAGGTACCTGGTCGACCTTTGCACAGACGCCGAGTGCGAAGACGGCCATGATGTCAATACAGAAAACAATCGCCTCATATTTCATCGTTTGAAGATCAACAACCTTAAGACGAATGCGTTGAGAAACCTTTTAAAGCCAGACACAGTTGCTCCTTATATCTGTGAGGAATACAACCTTGGAACATGTCTAAATCACCGATGTGTCAAAATGCATCTTTGTGCGGATTCCGTACTTGGAGACTGTAAGAAATGTGAGCTGAATCACAGTACTAAGGAACCGCAGTGTGAAAATTTGCTACGGCAAGCAAGCGTCAAGCTAGAACGATCAATAAAAGACATGAAAACTTTCTTGTGGAATAAATGCACTGCCAACATAGAAGAAATCAAGAAGCTGAAAAGAGAACAGGAAAAGAAACCGAAGAGTCTTAGTCCTCAGAAGCCGCAGGAACCACCAGTTGATAAGGTATGAAAACTTTCTTGTGGAATAAATGCACTGCCAACATAGAAGAAATCAAGAAGCTGAAAAGAGAACAGGAAAAGAAACCGAAGAGTCTTAGTCCTCAGAAGCCGCAGGAACCACCAGTTGATAAGGAAGCACCCCCTCCTTCTACCAATCCCAGCGTGCATTCCCCGCAAGGCGATGGTAATAGAATCGTTACGAAAGAAGAATGTTACCTTGCCAAGATGATCCATCAGATTCAAGGAAACGCCAGGGCCCTTCGAAAGAGCATCACCACACCAATAGTCATACAGCAGCTCAACACGTTTGAGCAGTTCATGGCACTCGCTCGGCAGAATCTGAGCTCCGATCCTTCCCTCAGTGGATGGTTTTCTAACACGTCATTTCATCCGGGTTACCTTCAACGGTGGCTGGAGCAAAAAACAAAGGAAGTTAAAAATTTCGAAAATCTCCAGAGGATATTCCTTCACTCTGGTGTGGAAATTCGGAATGTCTCTATGCCGTATCAGAAAATCGGCATGACGGAAATATGCTTCTTTTACAAAGGCATCACTCTCGCAGACCCTTTCCTTGATAGTCTGAAGAACTGCTTGACTGGATATCAACAGGCAATTCTTCCTGCACCAGCCACTTCAGTGTACTGCCGTGAAGATCAAATTCAACTCATGCTAGAGATTCAACGCCTCTTTCTTCATTACCAGAAGGCGAATGGATCCATGAATGTGAAGTTCGTAGCAGCAGAAGCGGCTCAGCTCCAACAACCTTATATGATCATGCTCTCACAAGGAAGAGGAGAAATTCCCCCTCAAGTCTTCATCCCTCCAGCAGAACCGTCAAATGTCCGAGTTCAGCTTTCGCTGGATAGACAAGGCATCGAAGTGCAGTGGAATAAACCGACCATCGGATGCGATTACATCGACAAGTTTCTTGTATGGGTCAAAGGCTGGAGCGACCCGACAGGACAGTGGAAGATTGGCACATCTGTGGCATCACCACCTGCAATAATACTAGGCCTTTTTCCGGGAGACAGATATCTTTTTGCGGTCTGATGGCTTTGATTATTATTATTCTATCGAAATGAGCAAATTTTCCTATTAATGGACTCAATTCTCTATAGGTAACTGCTTCCAGCCGTCTCGGTGTTGGGCCACCTAGTCGGACAATCAGCTGTGACATCCCAATCATTTCAGGAATAAATGAGGTAAATTTCCGGGTGTCGAAAATGCCTTATATGAACGAATGTGAATGTTAACGTCCAGCGGGGCATTTTCACATGTAAAGTCTGATGCTACAAGCTTTCAGATAATAGTTCTTTTCAATTAGTTTGATTCAGCACTGATTTTTGGGAGAAAAAAATTCATGAAATTCTTTAGTTGGAGGCTGCCGGACCACATGGGATAACAGCTGCCCTCTTCAAAATGTGCTTTTAGATGTTGAGCACCGTTGCCTATCCAGAGTGGTCCTTATTGTCCTAGTGCCCAGGTTTCTGACCGGAATCGCTCGGAAGGGAGCTTGTTGTATGCAAAATCCTTTATACGGCTCTAACTTAATGGATCAAGGAATTCTCCCCCGTTCGTGACGAGTCAAACTGCTTGGGAAGAAGACTCCTGCCCGGCCCCTTTTCACTCGCTCTCTAAGAAGACATTCCTTCCAAGAGATTTTAAGTCTTCCTTTGTCGCATCATTAAAAGATCCTTGTTTGTGGAATTTTCTGCTACTCTCTCAAGATGATTCTTCTCACTGGCCTTTCTATCGAAAGCGGACCGACCTCTCTTTCGAGTCTATTTCATCTCAATTAGTACCCCGTTATGGGCACATCCAAATCGACTAAAATTCAAGCACAAAAAACACATCGAAACCTTGTAATTGTATGATATTATGGGTGGATTCCTATTGTATACATCGTTCGCACGTTCTGCCACAAAAATTCAGTCAGAGGATGTCCTTTCAACGAGAAAAGTAAGAAAAAAATGTTTGTGATAAGTGCATGCAATAGTGCAGTTTTGGAGATTCGTTCTTCTAGCAACTCCGCAGATTATCCCCCATATGTCCGAAACACACTGGTCATTTGACAAACTGTATAGCTTGATAGGTTTAGGATAACGCAGAGAATCCACTTTTACATTCCGAATTACAACATTCTCACTGCTGGATTAGGTCTATTGGGTTCGACCCAGCAATAACTTTCTGGTTGACTCGTAGATTGCCTATTTAAAAAAAAAACAGCCTCACTCAATACAATAGCATGGTTTTATGAAAATCCCACATTTCTGAACAAGATTGCTCCAAGGAATAAGTAAAAGGCACCAATCCAATTTGTTTCTGAACTACTTGTGTACTATGGACTATGTGCAACCGTGCATTCCACGTGATCCCAATACGTACAGAAATGAAATACCCAATGGCAAGAGTTACCAATTATTGTGCACAACTTTATCCTAAACCTCCATGCACAGACAGAGCAAACATAAGTGAAATGCAGAGTGATCCGTTGGCATTACTCATTGTTAATACCTAACATATTCTTTTATCTCTTCATGCACATTTGGTTCGCCAGAGACGCTCAAATTGGCATCAACCAGCATTTAAACATTTAAAAGGCAATAATGAAGAAATTGCAATGACTGGATGAGTGGTTACTTTTTGAGGCCACCCTGTATACCGCGTATAGGGTTAAAATTGTGTTAATGAGGGTTTCACCCTGCACAAACACACGCACTAACTCACATTGCAATATTTATGGATACCAAAGATACACAGGAAATTCAGAAGCACCGATTCTTCGATTTTCGTCCAAAATATACTAGGTATAATTTGCACTCGAAAAAATGATACAGTATTAACCCTTTGCAGTCCTATTATTTTTAGGTTTCGGAGGCCAAGAAGTCAAATTTTTCATAGTTTTTTTTAAAATACGTTCGAATGAGGTTTTATTGTTTCTAATGGAAAAGAATGTTATGTTATCGCCACTTTAAGCTAAGCACAAAAGCGTCAAAAGCATCCAAATTTGTTTCTTTCTCCATAATAGTTTTTTCATCCTGAAGATGAGATAGGACAAAATTGCAATTTCATAAGTTTCATTCCGGGGATGAGATTGGACCGCAAAGGGTTAAGCGGTTGAACTGTTACAGCATCCAAACCATATGTCTACATAATGGCCATAATAATCGTAATCCACAAACCCTTGGGAAGAATCAGATAATACGTTTATATCAAATGTAATGATGCTTAGCGTATGAAGCTACCGGCAATCACGATATATATATTCTCCCTCACAATTTTCAGGATATGTTCTTACTTTTCAGAAATATGATTGAAGAGTGAAAACAATCCCAATAAATACTGCCTAATGGACTTCTTTGCATGGATATATTAAAATAATAGTTATTGGTCCTCTAGTAGGCAAGATTTACACAGCCGAACCGACATTAACATCTAAAAAGCATTATCCGGAGTGAATCTTAGTGAGAATATGCATAATATAGCTGTTCTAAGCACGATATTATAGGCATTATAACGTGACGGATTTGAAAGTACCACTTACTGTCATCTTCTCAACTAAATAGCTGTCAATTTCCAAGACGTCAAAGGAGTTGTCGCTGGCTCAAAAGATGAAGAAGTGGAAGTTATCTGGCAGGATCATTCAGGTCCCACGGAAGGAAGTGATGAAAGATAAAAAACGTCGATTGGCCAAGTTTGAAATAGGCAACAGGACGTTGGGTAGTGGACCGACGAAAGTACTTCTAGTCGTTGGAGCCATGGGTGCAGGTAATTTCAAATCACTCTCCTTCTTACCGATTCGAATGACGAGGTTCGACGCATATTTTATAAGTTTTTCAATTGTCACCTCTATTTATTCATTTTGCCCAATATGGAGATAATTCAAGTTTCAGTTCTACCTATGCATAACATCTGTTACTATTCAAAATGTTCACATCTTTCAAGATATGTTGTTTGCTTGCATATACTAAAATTGAAACTTTGAATGATGGAACGCTGAAATAATTTCCATGATTAAAACGGTTCTTTAATGAAATATATCGCACGCTATGTATGGAAAATTAGTAGACAGAGAATAATTAGAATGTATCGAAAATTGGTATCCCATGGAGTTCAAAATAGGGGAACTTACGAACCGTTAATCTGATTCGTCAGAAAATTCACATAGTGTGGTTCGACGATTCTCAGCCAATTGACCTTGCATGAGGAAGACCTAAGTGGCGCAATCTATCAAAATAAGACTCGGATCATAAACTGCAATGATGCAATATCCATTGGTTGTACAACTTTCGTAACGTGAGTCACGAGTGGCACAAGTCACAAAGTGATCGCTTTCTTTCTCTACATTGATTTATTGTGTTATTGTGAATGTGAATAAAATAATGCAAGAAAGTGCTGCTGAAAGGCAGAAACGAAGGAGAGAAAATATGAAGCAAGAAGGGAAGCATGATGAAAGTATGATGTAGTGGTGGTACAAGGCTGGCCAAGAAAATATAAGCCATTCGAAACCTTGAACTAAAACCCATATTTTAGAACGAATTGACTTCAAAACTTCATTAAACGCTTCCTAGGATGTTCTTCAGTATGTGCTAAAATGTCATCTGCCTCCAATTTCCCATTCTTGAGTTATGATAGATTCTGTTGAAATGAATGACATGCTGAGTGAAAAGGATTGCTACTGACATTGTGAGACATAGATCGACATCTAAATTTTACTTTAGAAAATATGTTCCTAAGAGAACATTGTAAAACTTTCCAGAATTTTGCGAAAAGTGTGCTTTTCACCTTCGGAATTGTCTTGCTTGCGCATAAAATTATTGAATTCCAATGAAAATGTACCTTGCAGCGGCAATGACATGCCTCTTAGTTCCAAATATTCACTGTTTAACGAATGCAATAATTGCCATAATTAAAGAATAGGATGTCACAGACACGTGGCATTTTAGAATACCCTTAAAAAAACATATTGGGTAAGGTTCCATTAAATTTTGAAGTGAATCTGTTCAAATTCATGGATTTTCTTGCAAATTTCCCAGTCTCTCACTTTTTTGGCCAACACTATACATATTACTACCTACATCCTACTTTTGTTGCGTCTGTGGCGAAGTTCTAACTGCGTTGTTGACTGGTGTTGTTCTCATCAATTCATCATTCATCAATTCTTCCCTACTTCCTTCAGCTTTACTTCCATCGTTTCTGCCTCACAGCTGCATCATGTTGCCTTTTTTATTCACGAATAGACCAAAGCAATCTAGAGAAAGAAAATCAACACTGTGTGACTCACGTTATGAAAGTTGCGCAAAGGATATTGCACCGATGCAATATATGGTCCGAGTCCTTTTGTGATGGCTTGGAATCCTTATGTAGCTAAGAGGAACCAACAGCATTTGCCCATGGAAACAGCACCATAGAACTGACAATATGGCAAATTTGTATGACTCATTTTACAAGTGAAAACCCATTCATCTTCAAAACGTCGCAGAAGTTTCGTTTGCATTGGTACTAGAAGATGACACCACTTTTTCACAGGACGCATCATATGTCACACCACCAGATTTTCAGCTCTGGCCAAATAACACCTTCAAAAAGGCATAATGAACAGAATATATGCTTTAAAGAGTTACGTTATGGCCGTATTGAGTTCCTTAGATTCAAAATGGCGATGCTGCATGACATTGCAGCCAGGATGATCAAAAGCACAAATTATACGAGTATGCTCCCGGATGCACTCTTTGTAACGACATCAACTGTTGGATCGCCCATTCGTTTTCAAAGTTGCTATCAATACATTTGTCCCCTATTTTACGTGGGATGTCCCATTACATTTTCTGAATCAAATTAAAAGAGTCTTATGCTCATAATTAAGTTGACGCTTGTTCTTTTCTCTATCAATATTATGATGATGAATTATATAAATATGAGTGGGAAAAACTGGCCATTCTAGTCTCCTGAGCACTCTGTAACATGAGTCACGTTCTCTGTAATGTGAGTCACGAAGATATTTCTTGTAAAAAAAAATTCAATGTAGATTTCAGTGTTAATATGCTATGATGAGCAGTATATGCTTCATCTTTTACCTAAATGACAGCAAGTTCTGTCTAAATCTAATGAAAAATGAAGCAGGATTATTTCGCGGAAAACCTACACTGAAAGCGTGACCTTCCATTGTAACAGGAGTTACGAAAACGTTCTCCCATTTTCTCGCAGTCAGGACTTAAATAAATTCATAGTATTATATCCAACAAAAGCACAATTCCTGCTATCGTTATGCCTGTAGGGACGATATGAAATTGAAAATGCAGATGACAGGGTGGAATTACTTTCTGAAAATATTGTGCATATGTTGCACAAGTCAGGATGGAACGACGTATTTGTTCATATGCAACATTTTTTTATTTCATTTAAAGATGCGTTCAATAATTGGTTTTGCAAAGCAGAGTCTGAATCACGAGAAACAATACTGTGCCCTGGAACGCTATGCAATTGCGCAATAATATTCTCATCCTTCTATAGGAAAGAGTACGCTCATCGACGGGATCATCAATTACGTGTACGGAGTGAAATGGGAGGACGATTTCCGTTTCAAAATGATAAAAGATGACGGTAGTGGTCTGAATATATCCCAATCCCATAGTCAGACCAAATGGATCACCGCATATATCCTTCACAAGGAAGAAGGATTCGCTCTTCCGTATACTTTAAAAATCATCGATACTCCAGGGTTTGGAGATACTGCAGGAATAGAGGCGGATCAAGAATTGATGAATCAGATCAGGATATTCTTCTTAAGTAAAGGGAATATCGGTATAGATCAACTTGACGGAATCTGCTTTGTCGTTCAATCCGCCTTGGTACGACTGACATCCACACAACAGTACATCTTCGATTCCATATTGTCCGTGTTTGGAAAAGACGTCAAAAACAGTTTCTACGTCCTCGCCACATTTTCGGACAATAAAACTCCACCTGTCCTGCAGGCCATCAAGACTGCCAAAATTCCCTACAAGGAGTACTTCAGGTTTAACAATTCCGCTCTCTTTATAGACACTGAAGAAGAAGATGGCGAACTTGGCACGACGTACTGGGAAATGGGTGTCTCAAGTTACAAAAAATTCTTTAAAGTTTTAGAAAAAAGTACACCTGTGAGCCTAACATTGACGGGGAAAGTGCTAAAAGAAAGAAAACGCTTAGAGACAGCCCTTCAAGGAATCCAACCGCAAATCATTGCAGGTGGGACTGCGTGTTTCAATTATTCATTTCCGAAGCAGTCATTAATGTAACTAATGCATATGTACCCGTTCGATGTATGCCTTTTTTTCTTTGTAGGTTTGGGAAGACTTAAAAATCTGAGGCAAGAACATGCAGCCTTGAGACAGCATAAGGCAGATCTTGAAGCCAATAATAACTTTTCATACAAAGTCAAGATTCAGAAACAGTTGAAGGTAAACCTAGCTGTTGGCGAATATGTCACAAATTGCCTGAAATGTAATTCTACCTGCCACTATCCTTGCACTGTGCCAAATGACGAACGTAAAGGCGACTGCGACGTAGTGGACTTTCAGACCGGTAAGTGCATGGTCTGTCCCCTGAATTGCCACTGGAAGGAACACTTCAATAATACGTACCGATTCGATATTACGGAGGAAGAGGTGACAAAGACCTCAGATGACTTGAAAGAAAAGTATACGCGAGCAACAGGGAAAAGGCAAAGTGCCCAGGGGATCGTGAAGCAGCTCATCAACGAATTCAACCAAGAAAGAGCGAAAGTTCTAGAATTAACCAACAAAGCACACCGTTGTTTGCAGAGACTCGACGAAATAGCCTTGAAACCGGATCAATTGGGAGTTACTGAATACATAGACTTATTGATAGAGGCTGAGAGTCGAAATGCCTCTCCTGGCTTCTCCCAGAGCATTAAATACCTGCAAGATACCCGAGGCAAGGCGGAATTAGCCGCGAAGCTTAAGGGTGAATTCGACCCTTTCCACGAATACATGAGGGAATTTGAGAAAGAGGGTTTCAACATATCCATATTTGACCCTGATCCCGATGTCAACGACGTTTCTGAGCCGCTAGCCACATCCCCAGAACATGGACGTCCATAGAGCGTCCATAGAGATGGAGTGGGAGACTGTGGAGTTGACGAACCAGATTTGAGAAGACGTTCGGTCTGGGGAGTCTTGCCTGAATGAGTCGTCACAGAGAGAATATAGCTATGGACTGGCTACATATGTTTTGCACCCCTAATAAATGATGATTCCCATGATATTCCACAATGGAAGTTGCTTCCCATTCGTCGCAATAACGTCGTGTTATTATTAAGAGAGGATTGATTTTCAGCGTATAAATTTTACCATAACAGGGCTGTATATGGTGGTAAACAAGCTGTGGCAATGTCGAAATGAGCCAAAATTGCAAAATTGAAAACGCGCTCATATGTCACGTGTTGCATTGTCAATGTATAGGCCTCATCTCCTCATTTCCTGAGATTGATAGATTATAGTTTGAAAGTATTCTAGTGATTACTATCATCATGTATTTGATTTCCTCTTACTATTTCTACATTTATTCCGTGAGTAAGGAATATGCACAATTCAAAATTTGATTGCTGACAACAGAATTTCCACTCTTTACAATTCGTCACTCAGAGGGCATACTTGCATTGACTTCTTATTTTTCTAAGCTGATTTTGAAGTGACTCCATGAGGTCCATGCCCATCTGGTTTGCCTTTTCCTCGGATAATTTTACCATGCTTGGTATATATTTGAAGAAATTGAGGCTCTTGCCCCTCGCCAATTATTCCAAGTATCTGTCTATGCAAATTGCCCGAATTTTCTATATGAGTCGAACCTGAGGGCTGTTGGGGGCATTATTTTATTGATAGTATTTAATTCACCACAGAATAATATTGATCCTGTCACGAAGAAGCAATGATTCATCCATCACCAGATTTTATTATTGCGTCACTCAATGAATTTACATCACCAAATGTTTATTACCATCACCAAATGATTTCATCACCAGATTTCATGAATTCTACACCCAATTCTCCCTTAGTATTTTCATCAGATGCCATGAAATGATCAGGAAATTTTTTTATTGAGTTAGCACCAACCCATTGTCACATTTGATGCGAAGGAAATAAATATTTCATATAGCGGTCCTGAAGGGCAGAATGCACTGACTATCCCTGCTGTGAATTAGCATTCGGAGTGAATGTTTGCCAATCTTGACCCAAATAGGGCATGTGCATTCAACATTTGAAGCTCTCACAACTCAGAGGAAGAGTCTTGCTTTTTTTTGCAGTTCTCCTAATGTTCCAGTTTTCTTATTAGATGCTCTTGCGCACTTTTCCGAACCACTTCCCTTTTTTGCGTTGCCGTCACTACAGACAATGAAGGCGTCTCCTTGTTTCAATTTCCTTAAGCTCTCTAGTAGCCATTGCACCGCTAATACATAGAGTACACAGAAACTGGATGTCAGCGCCGTTCACAACTCCCATACATACACAAGCGCAAGGAGGCTATTTACACAGGTTCTCCCTGAAGGTTTCCCATTGCATGATATGATCTTACAATCGCATATTGCCAAAACAGGTCTAACCGGAAATAAAGAAAAGTCCTTTCCTTAATAGGATACACATGTTGAATATGTCATAAATATGATGAGAACAATTCTTTGGTGCGGGATGAAGTAAATTCGGTGATACCAGTACCTGCGATGAATCACATTTGATGAATCAAAAATAAGAATTTGGTGACTGACTCCAATTTGGTGAAGATTCATTGTGATCTGGTGACGAAGTCAACATTTTTGCAGCCTGAAAATATTTGGTGACATGTTCATTATTATTTGGTGGATGATTAAATATATTTCCTACTGTATTTAGCCACAAATGTGATACTCTGGGACCCTAGCCAAACCTGAACCACTTTCTCGTTATGACAAGAAGCCATGTCCCTCCAAAAAATGACCTGGCCATTTTTGTGGTATTTTCTAATGAAAGGAAGGAGTATTTTCATCAGGCATTAGTTTAGATATACTTCGGCAGTCACTGTCCAATTTGATACGAAGGGAACTGAAATATGACCAGATTCATGACAGCCAGATCAAACTTTGATCAGAGAAGTTTGCCTCGGATTTGAACTTGGATTCATTGGCCACGTCGCTTTTGCTGGCAGAACTTCTTTCTGAGATACTCATGGAATCCAGTGAGACGTAATTCTCGCCACCCATCAGAGTGATCTTCGAAGAATCGGACTTGATGAATTTTGCGGTAGAGTCAAAAACATCCAGCTTTTTCTCACTCCTTCCGACCTTAGGTGACTTTGGAATCACTTCTTCTTCTATCGTATGGCATGGATGGTTTGCAAGATCTTTAAAGGTCAATGTCAAAGTTGGTGAGCCAGTTAATGGCTTCTGGAAGAACATTATGTATGTCTGTAACATTTCTTGGGTATTTCCTTAGGGGGCACTGATTGATGATGTGCTGCATGGTCTGTTCGTGACCACAGTCGCAAGATGGGTCGTCCCTCATTTTCTAGCGGTGGAGGAGCTGGGCACAAAGACCTTGGCCTGTCCGGATGCGATTCAAAATTGACATTTCCCGGCGGCTGAGGTCGAACCCGGGAGGCTGCACTGTTTGGTCAGAGATCAGCGACTTAGGGATATGGCATTTTCCTAGAGTGTTCTCCAGCGTTCCTCCACATTGAAGGAGGGCGGGTCGAGAGCTACCGCCCTCTCCCAGAAAGGAGAGCGGGATTTTAGTTGTTTTTTAGGTTGGTCGTCTATGATAAGATGGACGGGTAGATTCGTGTTGGTGGACATGGATTCGAAGGCACGTGACGTTTGCGCTTCCCTTCATCTGGTTGGAGGTGGGATGTTGGCGAGTGCAGGTACCCATGTAGTTGGAGTCGGCTTCAGGGTGGCATTGATTGTGATTATGGGCATCGTTTCCTTGAGTTCTTTGTGTGGCAGCTGTCGGCCCAGACTGGTGAGCAGTATTCTGCCGTTGAATAGACTAGCAAGAGTGCTGTTGTCCGCAACGTCTTGGCACTTTTCCCCCATGTTATTCCGGAGAGTTTGCGGACAAAATTCACCCTGCTCTTCACCTTTTGACCAGCCTTTTCAAGGTGCGCCCTGAATATAATGAGTGGTCAAGCGTGACACCGAAATACGAAGGCGTATCTTCGTGCTTCACGCGGTGGCCACAGAAGTCAACGTTGAGCCTTGCCTTGGCCAATTTGTTGTCCAGGTGGAGGGCTGTCACCATGGTTTTGGCCGGGTTCGGGCGCAGTTTCCAGGTGTTGAATTACTACGCCAGGATGCCGAGGTCAGCGGTTAGTGTAACGCTGATGTTCGTCAGGTTGGTGTGCTGGGCCGCCAAAGCAATGTCGTCGGCGTAGGTGAACTTCGTCGATGACGTTTGCAGCAGGTCGCTCATGTACAGATTAAACAGCGACGGAGCGAGCACAGAGCCTTGGGGGAGTCCGTTGTTGAGGACCCGTTATTTATTGACCTGTCCGTGGAGATGGACGCAGTAACGGCGGTCTCTCGTGAAAGCACCGACGAGCCTCAAGGTCTTCTGGCATTTGATGACTCTGGATGCCTTGCAGAGGAGTCTGTCACGCCAGGAGCAACCATGTCTTCCTGCTAGAGTGCGTGAAGTCGAGGTCTACGACCGTCTCCTACCATCTTTGTCGCTTTGAGTTAAGTGACTCTATGATCGCTGAAGTCTTGTCTGGTCTTCCACTCTGCCGGTATTCTTGGAATAGAGCTTCTGTCTCTTACGACCAGCAGGGGTTGAATGCCTTTCGGAATCAGCGGGGGATGTTTTTTCTGTGCTGCGGTTGTCAATATACGCGCGAAGACGGCAAAATTCTTCGGCGTGGGTTCGACTCGCTGGATCCGATCTTCTGCTTCCGCTTGGTGAGCAGTCCAGTCCGCCTCGCGGATGTCCCAGCGGGGAGTTGCAGTGGACTCGATCAAGGGTACTTGGAGGCCTATGTGGAGTATCACCGAGTGGTGCTGACTCCGAGGGAAGTAGCCGCCAACTGTCCTTGATGCAGGTAGTGGTGTTCCTCTGTGGTCTTTCGAGACAAAGCAGAGGTCCGGATTCCGCTATGTTCCCCAACGGTCTGATTTAAAAGACCCCGGTTTAAAAGACCCCGGTGGTTTTGGGTGAAAGCCCAGGTGGACATCGGCTATGAAAGCCTAATTGGTGAATTGCTCCCGGCTTCCTCGTTTTTCGTGTAGCCCCAAGCAGTGCGATGGATATTAAAGTCCCCAGCATACACTGCTGGGTAAGGGTGAGTTGGCAGCGCTGGTCTTGGCCATTCGGTGTTGGGTGGCTTGTAGATGTTCGTCACGGTGATTTCCCCGACTTTCACTGTGGCGTATGATGCTACATTCGACGAGCGTTCCTGACCGTCCCCAATCACTGCGCTCTCTTCGATGACTGCAACATTCTGAAGGCCAGACCTTATGTAAGTGGCCAGGCCATGTTTTGCACCGTTAACGTTGGCGACCATGTTGTAGCCTGCAACGTTATATTTGCCAGCTCTTTCGTTGTCTGCTGCGTGACTTTCTTGAAGAATCGCTAGGTCAATGCTGTTTTCTTTCAGGGTTTTCGCGAGAACATCGCACTTTGACAAACCCGCGCAAAGGGTCATTGTTGGGATCACTCGTTGGTGCCCTTTGATAACCAACCTGTCCCACTATGTCTATCCCAGAATACTTCTTTTCAGCTTCGTATTCATGGCTAACAATATTAGGGAAGTGTGTGACTTTTTTCAGTAGTTTCTTGACCACCCCGAATTTTTTGTGGCTATTTTTCAAGTTTCAAGTTGAGGGTTTTCCTTCGATACATTCCGGACTACGAACCGGCGTAGCCGATTTTACATTTTCTGTCGTTCTCGATGAAGGACAGGCATGGCCATTACGAATTAAAAAAAATTCCGATTCATTTTCTGATTTATTTTGATTGAAGGTGAAGAGGTTTCCACTCCACTCGACCAACAGAAAAAAATCACGCCAGAGTGCAAAGTGACTCCTGATGATCATGAAAATTTCGCTGGATGAAACACGACTGTAGTCATCATATCGAGCAGCATGTTTTCCCTGAAGTTTTTCATGGGATATTGTGCCCCAAAATGCATAATTCTGTCGGGTGTTTCATTCTACGCAGCTTTTGGGATAAGACCAGGAACCGCATGAAATCTAGTGGGAACACATATCCAGTCATTCCATGATACCAGTGAAAACGCCTACTTTGGCGACATCTCGCATAATCAGCAGGCACCTTGCTTGTTCGGACAACACGAGCGTCACCTTCAACCAAGGTGCATCCCCCTTAATTTCCTTGAAAGTAATGAAAATGCATTATTCATGAATCCGGAAGTGTAAGTATTCATGCAAAAAGCCTTGAATTACCTAAGGCCAAATGAAACGCGCACATAAATTCCATGGTTTCTGAACCATGGAATTTGATCCGGGGATTCTTGGGTGTGCACATAGTTTCAAAGTTAGTTCTCTTCACGCAATAACGTCAACGTTTTGAGTCAACGTTGGTTCACCGTGAGTGTGCTACTTGGGAGTGGTTGCCAAGACTTGCCAAGCAAGATTCTGACCATGGTTGAACTTGTGAGCGATCTCAATCAACTATTGAGTTGCTTTGCGATTGGCTAGGGAAACTGAACGTAGAACTTCACTGTGCTCTATAGCATTCTG